CAGAGCATAACCCTAAAGGTCCATGTACCCATATAGTACATATTTGGGCCCTAAAGCTACGGTATAGGAACCCCTTTAAGTATATACTATATGGGTACATGGACCCTTTGGGTAAGGAGCTTGGGTTCTGATGAGGAGGCGCTGAAGGTTTTGGGTCCTAGCTAAACTCTCCCGCGCGCCAGGTTATGTCGCACGGAATTCGGCTACGGCCGGTCAGCTAACGCACCGCGAAGCAGGCCGCGGAGGGTTAACCGTTTTAGGGTTTAGGGCTTAGGGTTTAGGGTTTAGTGTTAGGGTTTAGGGTTTAGAGTTTAGGTTTAGGGTTTAGGGCTTAGGGTTTAGGGTTCAGGTTTTAGGGTTTAGGGCTTAGGTGGGTTCGGCTGGGTGCCACGGGTGGATTCTTGCTCCTTTTGCTCCTACCTTGAGGACTTGGGTATCATAGGGAGCCTAAACCTGGGATCACATTCCTCACATTCTGCTAGAATTATAAATAAATATAAATAAATATATATAAATATAAATATATATATATGTACATAATATTTGAAATATGCATGTACGAAACAAATAAAAAATGAACTATATATATATATGTGTGTATAAATGGTAACACCACCACCACCACCACCACCACCACCACCACCACCCTAGAACCAACCTTAGCGCATGAAGACAATATCCTGCTCAGGTGAGCCTTTGCTTTGGGAAGGGGATTCATGAGGGACAGTACAACACTTCAAAGGGCTCAGGGGCTGAAACCGTATATTAACAAATTACGAAATCAGAACACAAATGCAAAAACAGATCTAGGACTTTTCCAGAACTCTTTGAGCGGTTGGCAAACAGTCCCAGACAATGTGTATTTGTTGGTTGTATTTGGTCGCAATTCGTGTTCATGTTTTTGTTATTGTTTCTTGCTGCTGTATTTTGTTGTTCTTGGATTGTCTGGTTGTTTTTCTCGGTTAGGTGAGTGACGTACAAACAAAGCGCCGGAACATGCTAGGCAATTCGTAGTGCTTGTACCACGCAATGCGTCATGGCCTTTCTTCGGCAAGTTTCTGCGTTTCTAGGGAGTCAGTGCTTTCTAGGCTTGTCTGTACAACTTGGGCATTTAGTTAGTATGTAAGTAGTCTATGGCGAGTATGTATGTTATGTTTGTTTAAGTCTGCCGAGAAAAAGGCACTACTTGGCCTAGGGAAGCCCAAAAAGCCCGACAGATGAGAATCCAAGCTTCCCAAGAGATTTCCCCGAAGATTTTGGATTTTGAATTTGTGGATATCTTTCTTTCGCGCTATGGCCTATATTTGCTAGGCAGTAGAATAGTCTTGCACTGGAATTGCTAGTGGGGAAAGAAGCTTTGGGGCCCTCATTGCAATCATTGTTACTATTGACAAGTGTGGCGTTTGTCATTGCTTTTTCTTGCGGGGTTATGTTGTAATTAGTTGTGTCCCAAGTAGGTCTTTCAGTAGGTGTTCAAGATATATTGCTCATGGACAGGAACTAAGCTGCGGCCATGTGCAGTTAAGCGCTGGGCTTTGGATGGGGCCTGGGTTTTAGAGTTTAGGGTTTAGGGTGTTTTTTCCGGTTAAAAGATGTACAGGGTTTCGGTTCTGGGGGTCTCTGCGTGCATCTTTCGATCTAGACTGCGGCCTCTCGCAGGTTACTGCGCCGAGATTGCGCAAGAGGCAAGGCTGGAGCAATGTTGCCGAAGCCGCATAATATGAACCCCATTAGGCCCCATGAAACCCCAGTAAACGCCATCATTAAACCCCATGAAACCCATCAAAGACCATCAAACCCTGTTCAGCTATTCAGCCCTATTCAACCCCGAATACCCCCCCCCCCCCAAACCCTAAACCCTAAACCCCAAACCCCAAACTCTAAACCCTAAACCCTAAACCCTAAACCCTAAACCCTAAACCCTAAACCCTAAACCCTAAACCCTAGCTTCTGGGAGGCAGCACTCCAAAGATGTAAACATGTTTGGGTCGATGGATCCCTTCACGATGCTGAGTGGCCACCGGGCTTTAACATAGGGCTTAGGGCTTCGGGCTGAGGGCTTATAGGGTGTAGGGTTTAGGGCTTAGGGTTTAGGGTTTAGGGTTTAAGGTTTAGGGTTTAGGGTTTAGGGTTTAGGGTTTAGGGTTTAGGGTCAAAAGGGTTTGGGGGTTTTTAGGGCTTATAGGGTTTAGGGGCGAAGTTCCGCCGCTTTTTTCTGTGCCGCACCGCAAACTCTTGCTAAGGACCACTTCTGAATCTCGGGTTCTTGGGTTCCATGGCCTTGCTGTGGCCTTTGGTTTGGGGCTCTACTTGGAGGTTCAGGGGGAGTTGTAAGTAGGGTTAGTTAGAATTATGGCAGCTATACTTAGAACCTGATTTGGGGGGGTACTTATAACTGCACTTACAACTACCCATGTCCAGGGGTTTTGGGGAGTCGGAGTTTCGGATTTGCGGTTCTACGGTAAACCCTAAACCCTAAACCCTAAACCCCAACCCCTAAACCCTAAACCCTAAACACCTCAGTCACCTGGAGGAAAGCATTGGAGGTCATGGGGCTTTAAGGTTTCGGGCTTGGGATGGCTCCCCCTTATACTAACAGCAGTCCTTAATAGGGGATTAGGATACTAGAATCCCTATTAAGGACTGTTCGTTTAGGGTTTAGGGTTTAGGGTTTAGGGTTTAGGGTTTAGGGTTTAGGGTTTAGGGTTTAGGGTTTAGGGTTTAGGGGAGTAAAAGGGGCAACAACCCAAGTTTCGGCTTTTGTAGGCATTTGAGCAACTTTGGAGGCTTTAGGGGCTGGAGGGTGTTAGGGTGTTGAGGCTTCAAGGCTTTCGGGGTCGTCGGCTTTTGGAGCTTTCGGGGAAGGGTTTAGGGTTTAGGGTTTAGGGTTTAGGGTTTAGGGTTTAGGGTTTAGGGTTTAGGGTTTAGGGTTTAGGGTTTAGGGTTTAGGGTTCAGGGTTTAAGGTTTAGGGTTTAGGGTTTAGGGTTTAGGGTTTAGGGTTTAGGGTTTCAGGATACATGTTGCGGCTCTCTCGCTCTCCACCACAGGTATGCCTCGGAGTTTCGCCGCATTCGCAAGGAGCCATCTTGCAACGCTTCAAGTACTTCCGTCCCTGCTGGGACACAGTGGCTATAGAATCTAGAAGGAGGATGCAGGGATTGGCCCAGAGTTATCTAAACTTCTAAGCGCCCAAAGAGCAAGTCACGCTAAACCTTAAACCGACTAACAAGCGTGGCCCTAAATGCCATGGCCTTGTCCGAAAGGAGCACCCGCAGTACAGGATAGCAATGTACCACGTTGCTGGGGCCTGAGAACCGTGCATTGGCCAGACACGCGCAGACCCTTCCCTAAAACCACAAGCCTTCTAAATCACCCCAAAATCTAAAGCCCTTGAACCCACAGCCATGAACCCTAAACCTTCAACATCCCAACGCCCCTTAAGGCCTACACCCCAACGCCAGAAATTCCCGCTTTACCGTGGAACGCTTAGGTCGCCAATTGGACCACAGTGCAAGGTCGCGCCGCCGCCCGCGCTAACCAAACTGGGCGAGTGGTGCCAAAGGACTGTAGGGTTTACGTAGAGTAACCTATGTTCCGTTCAAAGGACTATCTCCCACAATCATTAGTCAAGTTGTTGTTTTGAGGGTACATAGGTGACTCTAGTTTGGGTGTAGGGCTTAGGGTTCGCCAGTGAAGATGGCGCCTAAAGCACTGGAGGAGTCTTTTGATATGGGGAGTACATCCCGTAATTTCCCCAATGAGTGTGGATACGTGGGACCCACGCGAGTAGTAGTATGAGGTCAAAGAAAATGAAGACAACAAACATACAAACCAAAGTACAAGAGCAGGTGATCAAAAGTGGCTGCTTCCTTTTCTAGTTTCAACAAGACCAATAAAGCGTGGACAGGCTTAGCTCAACGAAATATTAAAATAATGCAAAGGCAAGAAGGGCCAAGGCTTTCGATGCGCCTCAAAAGGCCCAGGGAGGCTTCCAAAGGCCCCGGAAACCCTCAAAAGGTCCCAAAACAACACCGAAAGGTTTCTTCAAGGCCCCAGCCAACACGACCCTCAACAGCCCGCCAAAGCCTCAAAAAACAACGAAGACACAGCCTTAGGGTTTAGGGTTTAGGGTTTAGGGTTTAGGGTTTAGGGTTTAGGGTTTAGGGTTTAGGGTTTAGGGTTTAGGGTTTAGGGGCCCCACGGGCTGCCCTTGCAAAACCCCCAAAAAGCTCGCGGTGCCGCGATCACTCGGCCTCTCGCCGTGGTTTCTTGCTTTCGAGACAATTAATGACTAGTTCCAGGAGTGTGGAAATTCATCTCAAGCTCGAACTGCAGTCATGCGAAGGAGCAAGACTCAACATGTCCAGGAAGGAAGCTACAAACATCCTGACAGCGAGAAAAGCAACGCTTGCATCCCCCCTTGACCACGCTCTTAGTCAGACGTACTTAGCGTCGTAACAGTCAAGGGGAGGGAAGGCGAGTGCCCAGGCTACTGAAGCGCTTTCAGATGACGGCCCTTTTGCACGGGTCACTGTTGAAAGCCCGAAGCCGTGGAGCGACGCCGACAAGAACATGTTGGCCGCATCCAAGCTCACGCAAGAGGCAGCAGCTGCTGCGAAATGCCCAACAGGTCAGAGCCGCCACGACACCGAGTCAAGCTCTGCCTTGCGAGTGCCTTTCGAGTGCCTTGCGAGTAGTTTTGTTCGAACATGTTCTTGGTGGCGGAACACGCTCTTTTTCACCTTCGTTCTCACGGACGAGTCACGGATGGACACGTGTGTGTGTGTGTGCAGAGGAAGAGATGGACAAAACGCATACCAAACGAAACGGTTGTGGCTGAGATGCCCTTTGGAGTTCTCAAGGAGTGGCATCTCGCGAGCCTTGTATTTTCAGAAATGTTCTAACCTTGACTTGGATTATTCTTGGTGCACGCATGATGCGCAGCAAAAAGGCTATACATACACATTCACATATGTATTTATGGCTTACTCAGGGTTGAGGGCTTAGGGCATACAGGGTTTAGGGTCCAGAGCTCGAGGTCTAGGATTTGGGGAACATGGAGAAGCCAACTTCAGTGGCGCAGTTAGCGCAACTCTAAAGATTGTAGGTCTCATGTGGGCATTTATGTGGAGACTTGTTGTAGGTTCCTAGCCTGAAAGCACCCCCCCAGCAGTCCAACAAGTTGCCGCACGAAGCCCCAAACCCGGAAAGAGCGGCGCATACAGGCATGCACGGTGAGATCTTCGGGCGCTGATGCCGTTAGGGTTTAGGGTTTCGGGTTCAGGGTTCAGGGTTCAGGGCTTAAACCCCAAACCCTGAACCTTATAAACCCTGCTGCACAGGACGCGCTTCAGAAGTCGTTTCGTCAGGTGCCGCAGGCGCCTGGATTTCCCAGGGGGCATGGGTCTTGCTAGTTATTCTGGCCTATTCATAGGAATCACACTGCATCTTAGGGCTTATGTAGTCCAGGGCTCGGGGTGGCTTCAGCTATTTGCAGGCTTTAGGTTGCGGGGAGGACCAAGGGCCCTGAAGAGTAGGCGCCTGAAAGCCTAAGTCCAGAGACCGGAGGCCAAAAACCCCTTCGGCACGGGGTTTCTACAGCCGGAAGCTGTTCATAGATCACCCTAAGCCACCTTTTTAAGCCCTAAGCCCTAAACCCTAAACAGCCTCTTCTGCAGGCGGTGCGGCAGCTGCAGCCGCCTCTTGATTGTACCTGGCCGCCCGCACCCCCACACCCAGCCTGAACTCCAAACCCAAACCTCAAAGCCGCTCTATAGTAAGGATCTAATGAGGTTTCGGGATGAAGGTTTGGGGTCTGAGGGGTGATCTACTCTGCCTTGCGAAGGACACTGATTTGGCCCCAAATGCCCAAGGAAACCAGCCAGGATGTTCAGGTTCTGGGTTTAGGGCTAAGGGCGCAGGGTTTAGGGTTCAGCGTTTACGGTTCAGGATTGATGCTTGCCCTGTTCCACCCACCCACCCGCAGAACAGTGAACGCCCCCACGTCTTGGCAAAGCCGCTGAATCCCATGACCCTCAAGAAAGGCATGGGACCCTGAAACCCTTCAAGAGCACAAGACTCAAGATGACAAGCCCTAAGCCCAAATCCAAAGCCTGCCAAACCCCAAGAGGCTGGTAGACTTCTACGCGCGCATCGAGAACCAGGAGGCCTCGCCGCGACTCGCCCCATGGCCGCAATAAACCCTAAACCCTCAATCCTCATCCCCAAACCCTAAACAGTGAACCCTAAGCCCTAAACCCTAAACCCTCCACCCTACACCCTACAAACCCTCAACCCTAAACCCGCTGCGGCGAGGGCTTAAGGTTCGGGTGTCGCGTTTAGGGTTTCGAGTTTATGTTTATTGTGCAGGGGACCCTACTTGCAGAATTTCTGGTTAGTCCTCTGTACTCATACACCTTTTCCAACCCCCGCCAACAGAAATGAAAGAAAGCAACCCAGAATTATCCAGCGTGCAGATGTAAGCAGCCACGAGCCGATGAAACATACCGGGCCCCCAAACCCTCAACAAGCAAGTTGCCCTGAATCCTGAACCCGAGACCCTAAACCACAAACCGAAGCCCAAGCTGGATTTAGCCTCCCAGGCGCTGTTCTGCACCTGGGCTTCTATGGGTCGCCAAACCGATTATATATACATACATACGTATGTACATACAAACATATATATATATATATATTTATTTATATTTATATTTATATTTATATATGTATGTATTACGAGGATGTTTTTTACGATGGTTTCTGCAAAAGTGGCAAGAAACTGTGACCGCCCGAATCCCTAAACCCTGAACCCTAAGCCCTTAACAGTGAACCCCGCCAAGCTCAGGTAGATGTGCGTGTGAAGAACGCACGAGGCACGACCCGGGTGGCGGATGCTTGCAAGTGCACCTTGCTAAGGTATAGGGTCTTTCGGGTAGTCTCTGTTGTAGTTCTTATGGTTTTTCACAAACGAACCATAGCTAAAGTGGCTCCTTCCAGTTTAGCAACGCGAACATTTAGAAACGTGCGCGTCCATCCTTTGGTCCCTGGGGTTTTGGGTCTTCACAAACGGTTCATAGCTGAAGCGGTTTCTTCCGATTTAGAAAACAGATGTCTGTAGAAACGCGAGCGGACAACCCTTAGAGTAGTTGTAGAGAGTAGAAGGAGATACCACGTTTTGTTTGAAGCCCGACAAGGGCTTATGGCGTACCAGGTTTCGTCGGGAGCCTAGCCCTAGCGGAGTTGGCTCCCACACCCCTTAGAGCTAAAGCTAAGCTTGCTAAACCCTACCCGGAGGCTCATGGATAGTTATTTGAGGGGGCTTGAGCAGGGTAACACAGATAGTGCCTTTAGCCGTCCCTAAAGAATCACCCATGTACCTTCAAGTAGACATCCCCGGAATCCCGCCTATAAACCCTGAAAGCCCTCTGATCCCAAAAAGCCCATATTACCCTATGAACCCTATCAGCCCTCTAAACCCAACGAAACCTTATAAACCCTATGAAACCCCTATTACAAACTCACAAAAACCCTATGAAAACCCCAAACAAGCACGAAAAACCCTCTAAATGCCCTACAGAAAACCCTACAAAACTCCCCAACAAAACCATCAAAGCCCTCGGGTGCAAAAGGACTGATCGAGAAGCCGCCGTGCTCATGGGTGCGGCCCTAAGGATGGAAAGGTTTAGGGTTTAGGGTTTAGGGTTCAGGGTTCAGCGTTTAGGGTTTAGGGTTTAGGGTTTAGGGTTTAGGGTTTAGGGTTTAGGGAGAGCGCGAGATCACTTGATGCACATGCGGTAACCCTTCTAAACCCCGACACCCGAAATTCAGGGTTTGGGGGTTTAGGGTTTAGGGTGTACGGTTTAGGGTTTAGGGTTTAGGATTTAGGGTTTAGGGTTTAGGGTTTCGGGCTGGCACCCTCAACCCTGAAAGCTGGTCGACTCAGGACGTCCTTCGATCTGAGTTCGCGCCCCTGCGGGGAGCCAGCCAAGAAGGTGCGCTGAAGCTCGGGGCTTGGAGAGCCTGTACAAGCCTCTTGGGGACGAGCTGAACCCTAAAAGGGTTTACTTGGAGGTTCATGGGTAGTTATAAGTAGGGTTCTATGTACCCAAAATAAGGTTAAACCCTAAACCAGAAACCCTAAACCCTAAACCCTAAACCCTAGACCCTAGACCCTAAACCCTAAAGTGCATACTACTTTTTCCAGGGTCTACTCCAAAGTCGGAAGACTAGCGGAACCCTGGAAGGGCTTCTAAGGCCTACCCAGGATGGGCTAGTAGGCCTTGTAATCCCGCATATTCACGGAGTATAAAGGGCCTTATCTTTGTCATAGTTGGGAAACATTTTACATTTTTAAGGGTACTTAAACCCAATAAGGAATATAAATATAAATTTTTAATATTATCCCAACAATGAACAAGTTATGGGGAGGTTACATAAAGGGAATACTCGTCCATCCTGGAGTGTGGGGTTTGTTGAGTTTAGGGTCTATCGACTTGAGTAGGGATGGCAGGAGTAGAGTTTGTGTAGTTGCTGGTTTATATCACCGCAACTGTCGGGCTCTTGACGGTTCCTTTGGGCCTCAAGCACGTGGTGCCAACGAGTGACCACGCCTCCATCTTCTAGGATCGGGAGTAGGCCCCTTTTTTTGTTTTTTCGGGTTGGGGTTCCCTTACAAACCCGTTAAAACCAAGAAGGGTACCCTGTTTATTCCTAGGTTAGTCCCGGGTCCAGTCTTCAATACGCGGATCAGGTCGTGGCTACAGCGGCTCATCGATGAGGACGCCCTGCCATTTTGGCCAAGGGAACTGCCTCTATCCTATATCCCCCTTGGAAATTATTTTTTGGTCATAGAAAACCCAAGAGGATATTAAGGATATTATGTTTATTAAGGTTCTAAGGGGGGTATAGGGCAAGCCCTTCTTCCGTCCGAGTTTTTCTGCAGCAGGTCAAGGTGAGACATACTTGGAAGTTGGAAGTTCATGGGTAGTTATATGTGGGATTCGGAATACAGTAGCAGCAGTTCTCAGGCACGGTCGCCCTATGCTATGTATGGCCTTCAAGTATCCCTTAACCCTAAACCCTAAACCCTAAACCCTAAGGCAATAACACCCTGAACCCCTGAACCCCTAAACCCTAAACCCTAAACCCTAAACCCTAAACCCTAAACCCTAAACCCTAAACCCTAAACCCTAAACCCTAAACCCTAAACCCTAAACCCTAAACCCTAAACCCTAACCTAAACTGAAGAGGACGGCTGGGTGCATCCTGGAAGCTGCATGATAGCTTGATATGGTGACCTCTCAGACCGGTCACGCGCCATCACCTCTCGGGTACGCCTAAACCCTAAGCCCTAAGCCCTATAAACCCTAAGCCCTAAACCCTAAACCCTAAACCCTAAATCCTAAACCCTAAACCCTAAACCCTAAACGCTCAACGCTAAACGCTAAACCCTGACCTAAACCCCTGCAGGTCCGCTCTAGAAAGTTGAGGTGCTCGTACAGTTCCGGTCTTACATGACACGTATAAGTGTCTCGAAAAGTTGAGCGCGCTGCTTCAAGGGTTGGGGTTTGGGTTTATAGCTGAGCCTGCAAGTCGCGTAGCTTTAGTGGAGCTGGAATACAACCTTCTTTGGGCGCTTGTGACCCTAGCTGCAATCCCATAAACTGCACACAACAAAATAACAATCATCATAACATATACAATTGTACAACTGCCCATGAACCTTCAAGTAAGTGGTCTGCCCACAGATCTGACCAGCCCAAAGCCGCGCAGTACCCAAAGCACCCCGCAACGTTGGAGACTACATGAGTCCTGAACCCTAAACCCTAAGCATGTACAGTGTCTCTAAACCCTGAACCAGAAGCCTGAATCCTAAACCCTAAACTTCCTAACCCGAACCCTCTAGACTAGAGCTTTCCAGGAGCACGTCCTCATCTTCACACACTCACAGGGCAGTGGCAGCTGCCAGCGATTCCTTACGGAGGCCCAGCCGAAGGGCGTGTTAAGGCGTGGGTGCCCTAAACTAGGGTTCCGGGTTCAGGGTTTTGGGTTTTGGGCTTAGGGCCTAAACCTTAAATATCCTCGACACCCATTAGTGCGTTTGTTGCTTGTGAAGATTCAGGGTTGAACGCTTGGGCTCAGTTAGGCCTATCGGAGATCTTGTTTGGAGATTTATTTAGGGATTAAGTTAAAACTAGTTCAGTTTCACCCTAGTTTGGCTTACGTATAACTTACAGCCCTCAGCCTCAAGAATCTTAAACCCTAAGCCCTAAACCCTAAACCCTAAACCCTCTTAAACCCCTGGAGGGCTTATGATAATACACCTGAGAGCGTCGACCGTACGAAGCCATCCTACGGGCTTTGACGCACACCACACCCCCCTCCAATAGTTTAGGGTTTAGGGTTTAGGGTTTAGTATATAGGTTTAAGGGGGTTTATAAGGGTAGGGAACATAGGGTCCTATAATTAGTTTTGTTTCACCCGGGGGGGGGGGGGGGTGGGGTGGCAAAATTATGAGCGGTTAGGGGCCTCAATCTTCCGCAGGAGCAAAGCAGCAAAGCAACTAAACCCCTAAACCCTCGACCCTTGAAGCGCTAAACTCTCAACCTCTAAACCCTGAAGGCCTATATAGCCCTAAGCCCCCAAACACCCCAAAACCATAAAACCCCAACCCCCAAACTCTAAAGCCCTAAACCCCGGAACCCCTGAAACCCTTAAACTCCCAAACCCCCAAACCCCCAAATCCCCAAACCCCCAAACCCTAAGGCAATAACACCCTGAACCCCTGAACCCCTAAACACCTGAACCCCTTAACCTCCGAACCCCTGAACCCCTAAACCCCTAAACCCCTAAACCCCTAAGCCCCTAAACCCCTAAACCCCTAAACCCCTAAACCCCTAAACCCCTAAACCCCTACCCCTAAACCCCTAAACCCCTAAACCCCTAAACCCCTAAACTCCTAAACCCCTAAACGCCTAAACCCCTAAACCCCTACACCCCTAAACCCCTAAACCCCTAAACCCCTAAACCCCTACACCCCTAAACCCCTAAACCCCTACACCCCTAAACCCCTACACCCCTAAACCCCTGAACCCCTGAACCCCTAAACACCTGAACCCCTGAACCTCCGAACCCCTGAACCCCTAAACCCCTAAACCCCTGAACCCTGAAACCCTGAACCCCTAAACACCTGAACCCCTGAAACCCCTGAACCCCTGAACCCCTGAACCCCTAAACACCTGAACCCCTGAACCTCCGAACCCCTGAACCCCTAAACCCCTAAACCCCTAAACCCCTAAACCCCTAAGCCCCTAAACCCCTGAACCCCTGAACCCTAAACCCCTGAATCCCTAAACCCCTAAGCCCCTAAACCCCTAAACCCCTGAACCCTAAACCCTAAACCCTAAACCCTAAAGCCTAAACCTCTTAAAATCCTAAAGCCCTCTGGAGCCAGAGGTCCTGGGCATCCCAGGGGTTCGGGTGCTCGCAACCCGGACAGGGAAGCTGTCAGGGTTTAGGGTTTAGGGTTTAGGGTTTAGGGTTTAGGGTTTAGGGTTTAGGGCTTGGGGTGTTTGAGTCTAGGGGTTTGAAGGTGTAGGGGTTGAGTAATTATGGGTTTATAGAGCTTAAAAGTTTGGGGAATTGGGAGTGAGAGCTCAGGCTTCAGTGGTGTAGGCGCACATCGAGTTTATGTAGAGAGCTTGGGGTTCAGGGTATGACTCAAAAGCTAGGGGCTCATGGAAATTGGGGTTAGGTGTTTTTGGGTATGGGGCTTAGGAGCTTTAGGCGGCTTCTGTGCCAGTATCAACGTCTTTAATTCAGAATTTTCCTTTAATGTGTTGGCTATCTGATCAAGAAGCCTCAGCCTCTGATTGCTTGTGCTGGGCTAGGCTCTCGTTCCCGACCCACTGCGCGCATTAACTGGGGGGGGGGGGGGGGGGGGACCATTACGCATGTATGGGTAGCTTGCTCACTTTTTGGGCGCTGATTCTGATGACTAGTAACATGATGAGGCGCAGGGTTGATGATGGTGCTAGCTGTGATGCTGCTGCTAAGGGTGATTATGCATGATTCTGCATCTTCTTTGCATCAGCATTCTTAGCATCAGCATTTGGACTATGACTATGTCGTTTTTGTTGATGGTTCAGGTCTTTTGTTCTATTATGGTCGTGATGGGGATGGCGTGAATGATGAAGAGGAGCGACATGACGACGATCAGGAGGACGACCCCTAACCGCAGACCCCAAACAGACGACTCTTTTAAAGGGCTCCGAGCCAGGCGAGATAAACCCTAAACCCTTAACCCTAAACTCTAAACCCTAAACCCTATACCCTAAACTCTAACCCTAAAGCCTGAACCCTAAACCCTAAACCCGAAACCCTCAACCCTCAACCCTAAACCCTAAACTCTGAACCCTGAACCCTAAACCCTAAACCCTAAACCCTAAACCCTAACCCAAAAGCCCAGGAGCTGGACCAGATGAGCTCGTGGCCTTTCGAGGACACCGGCTCACCAGCCTTAAAGCTTCGATAGACTTCCGAGATAAGCAGATATCAGCCAGGGTTTAGGGTTTAGGGTTTAGGGTTTAGGGTTTAGGGTTTAGGGTTTAGGGTTTAGGGTTTAGGGGCTGAGGGTTTAGGGCAAGTTTAGTTCCAGTAGCCTAACCTACTTCTACTTGTCAGGTGGAGGGATCAGGGGTTCGAGCTTCGCCAAGGGGCTATGGCCCCCTATGCTTTCAGTCTTTGAGGGTTCTGGTGGCCTATTTATCCGGCAAGAGACAAAAGCCCAAGGCTTAGGTCTGAGTTCCTCGCGGCCTCTTGGGGGTGGGTCAGCTACCACATAGGGTTGATGGACCCCTCGCAACAAAAGAGTCTAGAACGCAACTCCTTGCTGCCAAGCACCAAGCGAAGACGCAGCGTAACCCTACAAACCCTACAAACCCTACAAACCCTACAAACCCTACAAACCCCTCAAACCCTGCAAACTCCACAAACCCTACAAACCCCTCAAACCCTACAAACCCTACAAACCCTACAAACCCCGCAAACCCCGTAAACCCCTCAAACCCCAACAGGCTTGCAGCCGTTTGAGGCCTGCTTTTTTTGGGGGCTGCTTCCGCCTCTGCCCAACCCCAACTACCCAACCTTAAACCCTAAACCCTGCACTTTAAACCCTAAACCCTAAACCCTAAACCCTAAACCTTAAACCCTAAACCCAACGCGTCAGCGCCATGGCTTCGGGATCTGCAGACCAACTGCTCGAGGATCCCCATGTACAGGAGGCCATCTGGCGCGCCATCCAGGCAGGGAGTTGGTGTTTTAGGGTTTAGGGTTTAGGGTTTAGGGTTTAGGGTTTAGGGTTTAGGGTTTAGGGTTTAGGGTTTAGGGTTTAGGGTTTAGGGTATAGGGTTTAGGGTTTAGGGTTTAGGGTTTAGCTTGCCATCAAAGTCTAAGGGTAGTTCCATGGCCCCTTAGTATGGGGACCCTCTACATCCCTATAAAAGCCAAGGGCCCTTACATCAGAAATCCTTTCAAGAGGGTAAGGGACCATATTGAGGAACCATGTAACTACCCTGAGACCTAAACCCTATAAACCCTAAACCCTAAACCCTAAACCTTGAACTCGTTGTGCTTGTGGACTCTCTGTGCAGGCAGAGCAGGCAGCCAGCTGCAGCAAGCTTCGCACGGAGCTGGCGGAGCGACTTGTATTCCAAGGGTTTAGGGTTTAGGGTTTAGGGTTTAGGGTTTAGGGTTTTAGGGTTTAGGGTTTAGGGTTTAGGGTTTAGGGTTTAGGGTTTAGGGCTTCTAGAGGCCGTGGGAACTTTAGAGCCTTTGCGCTTCAGGGTTTTAGTGTGTCGGAGTCACGGAAGCCTGCCCGGACTGTCTGACAAGGGGGCTTTCCGAAATTGGGGGTACGGTACTGGGGTCCTTGTTACTCATATCAGGGAATCCTACTATTTGGGTCTAAATAAGGGGTCTTTTTATTTTTGTAATCCTGCTATTTGGGTCTAAATAAGGGGTTCTTTATTTTTGTAAACCCCAATGCAAAGAGGCATGACCTGCATCTGAGGATCCAAGACAGGATCTGGCAGGTCTTTGGTGCGACCAGCACGTGGATCGACATGTGCCCAGAGGCGGGCTTCAGCTTTGTTTTGGCGGTTTGACCGAAAGTGTCCGATTAGAATGTATGTCTTAGTCGTCATCTGTTTTTTAGCCCAAATCACTGTTATGATGGTTTCAATTCACGGGGAGTAGTTAATTTGTTGGTCTTCAGGGCTCAAGGTTTAGGGTTTGCACCTTGGCACCTGTGGGGGAACACGGACTCTTGCCCTATTTCGCCAACAGCTGAACTTTCAACTTTTTGGGTTTCCTTGTTTAGTAGAAAAAAACAGTGTAGCCCTTTCCCCCTTGGTTATTGGAGGAGTAAGTTGCTCCTACTCCAGAGGCCCAGGACGCAATCCACGGCGCCATGCTGTTGGGTGACGCCTCGTGTCGCCACTTGCTTGGGGATGGCGCTTAAATCCTAAACTTGGGATGTTCCCCCTTTGTACTAACAGTCCCTAATGGGGATCATAATAAGGGGTACTGGAGTCCCTACAAAGGACTGTTAGTATAAGGGGGGAACATCCTGAACCCTAAACCCTAAACCCTAAACCTTGTGAACCTTGGGGTTTAGGGTTTTGGGTTTTGGGTGGGCCTCCAATCACACTCGGGCCTAGGTCCACGTGTGTGGGATCGTGCTCCCACAGCTAGGTCCCGTGCACTTCAGAAGAGGTGTAGGTTTGGCAAGCCGTGTCGCAACACGTGGCACAGGGAGGCACGTTCCGGGGTCTTCTAAGGCGTTTAGGGTTGAGGCTTGAGGCTTGAGGGTAGGGGTTTAGGGTTTAGGGTTTAGGATTTAGGGTTTGGCGTTTAGGGTTTACTGTCCATGAAACCCCAAGGGTCCACCGCGCCGCTTTTTCAGGTTACCACCGTGCTGGCACAGAGTATGAGGTGAGCTTGGACGCGCGACAGCAGCTGCCAGGCTTGAGATTGAACTTTGAAAGGGTAGTTGCATGGGCTCTGAATAAGGGATATATAGGGGGTTCCCCTTTAAGGGCGCCCATACTAAGGGACCATGTAAACCCCTAGGAAGGTCATGGGTAGATATGGCTGTTCTGCGTTTCGAGGGGTTTTGAGGGGTCACCAAGGGGTCCCAAGCCTTTCCAAAGACTCAACCTTAAATCCAAGATAAGTAATGAGTTTGAAGTGGGACTCTAGGGTAATTAGGCCGTTTTTTGTAGGGAGAGGGGTTTGGGGTGGGGGGGGGAGGGGGGGGGGGGGACTCCGTTTCTATCCGAGTCAGACCTACTTTCTCCAACGGGGCGTCGGGGTTTGGGGGAGAAGGCAGCTAGCACTCATTTCGGTAGGGCAAAAGCTAGGTTAATGGCCGTAAGATATCACTAGCCAGTGCTGCTGATGGCATGATAGTGGTACCAGAGCGATCGCACATGAACTACTGGCTTATTTGCAGCTGGGGTGAGCGTTCTGCGCACACTCCAACGACTGCTTGCAAGATGAGTTTCTATGTTCTTCACTACAAGTGTCTCAGCGGATTTACGTCGTCCATAAAAACATGTTGTCTGTGGCGTTTTTCACCGGCACTCGAAACTGCGACTGGCGCTGATACCCATCCGAGGACCAAATCTCCAAACTGGCACCCGGCGAGAGCGATTCGCCTGGCGCCACGCGATCCGGGGCATCCTCTACCACATGCGACAGAGCCAACGGAGTACTGTTTAGCAGGGAATTGAGGGGAATTCGGGCCCTATATGACCCTTAATAAGGATTTGTAGGGTTACCTCGTTCCCCCGTCCCGACCAGAGCACCAGTAAGAGGAGCTGCACGGCCTGCACCATGCACTTAGCTGAGCGGCTTTCACTGCCACGTCGGCTGCGGAAAGGCCCACAAAAACTTCCCCAGTGCCATCGGGGAAGACTGGACTCACTCCGGACCCCCGAGGATACGCGACCAGGACAAGGGCAAGCACTTAGTAACCTGAGAGGAGTACACTTTAGACTTTTGGGGGTACGTAATTCCTCCTAGAGCTGAAGTGTACGCTTCTGGGCTACGCAACTCAGCACTAAGGACGCCGGCCAGGCCTTGCAGGAAGATTACAGTCGCTGGAGCTGGGCCACAAGATGGAAGGCGCGAAAGTTCGAGGAGCCACCTATACAATCAGCATACTTAGCCATTATATGGGGGGGGGGGGGGGTGTGTGCAGCTTAAATAGGGTCTATTTGGAAGCTGAGACTCGGGTTTTAAAGAGGAAATAAGGCCCCAAAACGTATGCTTATTCACAAAAGCCATCTGCCAAATAGACCCTGTTGTCGTTTCTGGGGGTTCTGGGGCAAGGAACTAAATAATTTAAATAATTTAAATCCGAAAGGGGCGTTTCGGATTTAAATTATTTAAATTATTTAATTCTGGGAAGGGGGGGGGGCCTGGTCGGGCCTGGCCCGCCCCCCTTTTCGGATTTAAATTCTTTAGATTATTTAAATTATTTAGATTATTTAAATTATTTAAATTATTTAAATTATTTAATTCCGGGGGGGGAATTAAATAATTTAAATCCGAACCCCCCCTTTCGGATTTAAATTATTTAAATTATTTAATTCCCCCCCCCCAGAATTAAATAATTTAAATAATTTAAATAATTTAAATAATTTAAATAAATTAAATCCGAAAAGGGGGGGGCCAGGCCCGGGCCCCCCCCCCCTTCCCAGAATTAAATAATTTAAATAATTTAAATCCGAAAGGGGCGTTTCGGATTTAAATTATTTAAATTATTTAATTCTGGGAAGGGGGGGGGCCTGGTCGGGCCTGCCCCCCCTCCTTTTCGGATTTAAATTATTTAAATTATTTAAATTATTTAAATTATTTAAATTATTTAAATTATTTAAATTATTTAAATTGTTTAAATTATTTAAATTATTTAAATTATTTAATTCCGGGGGGGGGAATTAAATAATTTAAATAATTTAAATCCGAACCCCCCCTTTCGGATTTAAATTATATAAATTATTTAATTCCCCCCCCGGAATTAAATAATTTAAATAATTTAAATAAATTAAATCCGAAAATCCGAAAGGGGCGTTTCGGATTTAAATTATTTAAATTATTTAATTCTGGGAAGGGGGGGGGCCTGGTCGGGCCTGGCCCCCCCCCCCTTTTCGGATTTAAATTATTTAAATTATTTAAATTATTTAAATTATTTAATTCCGGGGGGGGGAATTAAATAATTTAAATAGTTTAAATCCGAACCCCCCTTTTCGGATTTAAATTATTTAAATTATTTAAATTATTTAAATTATTTAAATTATTTAAATTATTTAATTCCGGGGGGGGGAATTAAATAATTTAAATAATTTAAATCCGAACCCCCCCTTTCAGATTTAAATTATTTAAATTATTTAATTCCCCCCCCGGAATTAAATAATTTAAATAATTTAAATAATTTAA